AGAGACGAAACCTCTCATCATTCAATGTATTCACGGTGCGTGTGTCGGGTCCATCGTTGTAGTGAGAGGAGCTTCAACAGTGACTGTGACTTGTGACCCAGGTGTAGGTTTAAGGGACCCCTATCTAACGTTAAACACTCACCTGCACCGTCCAAGCTCCTCTCTCTACCAAATTTGTAACGAACCTACTAGGGCTGAATTTGACGTACGTTCCAAGAATGCATTAATGTGAGTTCTGGACAGGCCCAAGTCTTTTAGTAGGTTATAGAGATTTATCTGTTATACCTCTCGCTTCCAATTCTACCGCGTACAAATCCACGACGAACCTATTTCGAGTGAGTTCCTAATATTTATTGACCTTGATGGCACTCATGTATACTAAAATATGTCAGCTCTGAAGGCCAGCGCCAACTTTGATAAAAGGGTTTTATTTAAATTACAGACGAGGAAAGGCCAGTTTAAACGTGAAGTTAAGTATTTATAGTACATCCAAGCCTTAAAGTTACTGATCACGTGATTTTTAGTCATACCTTACAGACTATTGGCTAACATATATTTTGTATTCTAACCACGCATTTTTAGTCCAACCTCAATTCAGAAATCCACACGATAGAAGATATAGGATAAAACTAGTATTACAGAACTAGTGTATGTCCGCAATTTCGTCCGCGTTAATTTTGGAATTAGTAATATATGTATAGCTCTCCAGGCGAAATATATTTCGACAAAGAGGCCTTAAATAACCAGATATTGAATTTATTAAGTACTTGATTTCTTTTTTGATCGTACAGTATTAAATATCCTATGTCCATTCTATGTTCTAATCTATCTCTCCACCAATCTTCATCCAAACCCGTACAGCCGTTAGAGTTATAAATAGTGTAACTAACACGACTTTCTTTTATATATAAAAATTAATACTCGATAATCCACGTAGAAATAAAAATAAAGATATATTGAGAAAAGTGCATCGTAAAATACAATTATATTGCTAAATTAGTTTAAGTGTTTGTTTTCAGACATCTTTAACATTAAAACATTTTTTTATTATTAAAATGAATTACTTATTATGGTAATTAATAAGTTAATACTTCCTAACACTACTTCGTAATACTCAGCCAATTATTCGTAGTGAAAGTTGAAAGTTCGTTGACCTCGGGAATCGAAAAAGTAATTTGGACATTGTATAACAAGAGACGAAACTTCATCATTCCATGTATTCACGGTGCGTGTGTTGGATCCATCGTTGTAGTGAGAGGAGCTTCAACAGTGACTGGGACTTGTGACCCAGGTGTAGGTTTAATATATATAGAGAGACGAAACCTCTCATCATTCAATGTATTCACGGTGCGTGTGTTGGATCCATCGTTGTAGTGAGAGGAGCTTCAACAGCGACTGGGACTTGTGACCCAGGTGTAGGTTTAATATATATAGAGAGACGAAACCTCTCATCATTCCATGTATTCACGGTGCGTGTGTTGGATCCATCGTTGTAGTGAGAGGAGCTTCAACAGCGACTGGGACTTGTGACCCAGGTGTAGGTTTAACACCCTATCTTTCCTTATAATTTAATAATATTTTTGTACTGTACTCAGAAACAAAACAAAATAGCCTTCTAATAGCCAATCTTCTTCTTCTACCTTTCAATTTCCCAGCTTTAGCCAGGGTCTGTCTTACATGTTGTGAATAGTTTTGTCTAATTGTTTTTACGACCGGCCGCCTGCCTGACATCAACCCTCTTTGGGAATGCATTAATCAGTGATGTTTAAATACTCTTGAAGTACATATGACTCGGAAAAATCACATTAGTACTTGCCAGGTTCGAACCCGCGCCCTCATGCATGAGAGGCGGGCCTTTTCACCACTAGGCCACTTTTAATTCTCTATTTCATATAAAACCTATTTTATTAAGAAACTCAACAAGTCATAGATTTTCCATATAAATGAATTAAACATTATTTAATTAACAATAGGATTGCTCAATCACAAACAATTCTTTCAAAACCAGGTCGGCTCTCTGGACTTTGGATGTTTTTAAAAATAATACTTATAAATACAAGTTTTTAGTACAAACTATAGGTTCTTCAGTTTACTACAAGACAAACTAAACAGAGAAATTAAACTAAAATTTTTATATTACTACGCGATTTTGTACGCGGTAGAAGTGGGAGAGAGAGGTATAACAGCTAAATCTCTCTATAACCTACTATAGGACTTGGGCCTGTCCAGAACTAACATTAATACATTCTTGGAACGTACATCGAAGGCAGCCCTAGTAGGTTCTTTTCAAATTTGGTAGAAAGAGGAGCTTCTATGGTGGAGGTGATCGTTTAACGCGCGTTAGATAGGGGTCCCTTAAACCTACACCTGGGTCACAAGTCACAGTCACTGTTGAAGCTCCTCTCACTACAACGATGGACCCGACACACGCACCGTGAATACATGGAATGATGAGAGGTTTCGTCTCTCTATATATATTAAACCTACACCTGGGTCACAA